TAAAAGTGAAACTTCAAAAAAATTCACAATACAGTTTGATCAACTATTTTTGTAGAGTACCTTGAAGCACATTTAAACTTGAACATACATGATATCTCATTAGAAATTCGTAAACTTTCTCTCAACGCTCATCAATTATGAATACATTATAGGCATCAGTATAACTATTTAGCAAATTATTAAATGTTATTAGGATAATCAACTGATTTAAACTTTCTATTTCTATATTTACTACAAAATAAAGAAACATATATGTCATTAAAGAGTAAACTGTCGAATTTTTTTGTTTCTTTTATATTCACTAGTTTATTTTATAATCTCCTCAAAGATAAAAAAAAATTGTTTTTTAATCCATTAAAAACATAATTACGTTTTCCAGTTTCATTTCAGATCTAAACAGTTAGAAAAATGAAATGCATGTTTTGTTCCAAAACAAAACAGAGAGGATTCGTTAAGTTTGCCCATATGCAATATATATATATATATATATATATATATATATATATATATATATATATATATATATATATATATATATATATATATATATATATATAGTAGCCAGTTTCTAGAAAATATAAAATCTTTTCAATACATTTTTGTGTATATCAATGGTATAATCGATAATAGGAAGGGGAAAAATTATAGTAAATGTAGTATTAGTAATAATATTATTATAGTAAATACCGTTGCTATCGTCAACAAATCAATAAGTGAAAAGTTTCCTTATATATATATAATACAAAAGTAGGTAATATTATACGCCCAAATAAATTTATTTTTATGTAATCAATAAAATTTTACTTGTATAATACAATAAGGTAAAAAAAATTTCACAATACTGATTTAATTAATATGATGAAACGACCGTCCAGTGTTTCCAGGTTTTCTATGGTAGTCTAGCTTCATGATCTCAACTATTGGAATCGCCAAAATCTCCACAAAATGCCTTTTGATACTAATCAACATATGCTCACTAGTGACTGACTTCAAGAGGTATATCATGGAGTTGTAGTGAGAAGCAGTGACCGGTGGAGTACAACCGGGTCTGTTGTGAAATAGTAACTCACTGATGACAGTAGTGGATGTGTCGCTCAGTTTCGTGGATTAGTTGTATTTAGACATTACCACGATTGGATGCCGGCCGGCTCAGTTGTCTAGTGATTAAGTGCTCGCGCGCGAGACCAGTAGGTCCTGGGTTCGAATCCCGCGAGGCAGTGTCGTGGATGCGCACTGCTGATGAGCCCGCAATAAGACAAAACAGCCGTCCAGTGCTTCCAGGTTTTCCATGGTGGCCTAGTTTCAAGTGACTCATGATCTCAACTATTGAGAATATTGATCTAATTAATATGACTCTTATTTAGAAAGCAAAACAAAAAACAAAGAAAAAATTGACTAATTTATGTATTGGAGTTAGGAATCAAGAATTTTTTTTATTATAAAAAGGTATCGAATGTAGCAGTTGATTAGTCAAATTGAAATAGACAAGTAAGTATTCGAATCATAAAATGAATGATTAAAAATGAACTAGATTTATACTAATATACAGTTGTACATAAATATCAGATTCTACCTTGTGAGTGAATTCACTAAAAAAAACATATTTACATCCATAAATCTCCTAAGTTTTTTCTTAATTTTTAACTGACTAGTCTTTAGTGCTTTGTATCAGGCGATAAACACGTACATTTATATAGTTGACCTGAAAATGGACAAGAATAAGACGTTTGGAAAAGAACGGTCTTGTTTACGAAATTGGAAGGACGAAAAGCGAATATCCGACGCTTTAGCAGGGTTGGTGGACACAGACGGTCCACCTAGGGGAGCTGAGAAACCCTAATTCCATTGCTCCACTACCTTGTAGATCAGACCTTTAGGTGTAAGGCTCCGAGTGTGGCCTCCTAAGAAAACCACCTGCTTTGGTTTGGGCAACCGGACAGTAACACAGCTCATACACAAAACAAGTGACTTGTGTGCCGCATATGTATTTGGTGCCCCTTTGTACCAATATTTGTGTGTTCAAACAAATAAAACGTAAAAGTTTGATGACTGTAACAGTGTTTACTTCGGTAACAGTAATGTACTCATAATTCTAGTCACCAACGATGATACATTTAATTTGTATTATGAGCTTTACAGTATTAAAATTTTAATAAGACATTTCCAATCAATGAATAACATCTGGAAGTATACACCCTTAATTTTTTTATATTTTACTAATATATATATATATATATATATATATATATATATATATATATATATATATATATATATATATATATATATATATATGTTACTAGTGCGTGCTATACATGGTGAAACAGGCTAATCCACTTTTGCTGACAGTCAACTGTGAGAAAAAAAACAGTTTAAAGCAAACGCATATTGTATGCAAATATGAGTATTTGAAATGTTTGTACTTTGTGAAAAAAATAAATGAAATTCATTCTAGCTGTGAAGGTGGATGATATAGGATCGAATCCCTCAGAGAGTATCCGTTCCTTCAAGATTACAAGTACACCTTACTGACGAGTACCAAGTAGCACGAAATCTAGGTTCAGGGTTTCCTGTTGATTACCTCTAAACACCATCTTAATTCATGGTTACTTTTAGAATAAATACCAGAAATGGATAACTCATTTTATAAAAGAAAAAAAGCAGGATACATTAATTTAGAGAAAATATATTAGACAGTTTCTTTTGTAAACATGATGATATGTTCTAAGAAATTTTCAAAAGCCTTAGTATTGTCTGGGTAATAGTCTAATTACTAATAAATGAGTAAAAAAGAGAAGTTGGCACTGATAATTTATAATGTTTTTTGATAGTAAATTATCAACCATTTAAAGTAAATAATAAATGAATAATACGGAAGGATCTATACTAAATCTTACAACCTTTTATTTATTTAAACACATAAACATAGGTACAAGGCAACAAATAGATAAGCACCACATAAATCATTCGATTTATGTGAGGGCTGGGATACTGCCAGAGTTCCAGAACAGAAAGAGGTGATTTTCTTAAAGGGCGACACCCCGAGCCTTTGACCTCAAAGCAGTGTAGCAACGTTAGGAGATGCAGTCTCATGGTAGCCAGTGACCAACAATTGGTTTATACTTAACTTTTCCTCCAGGATCCTGAAGCCCATGTACACCATTGGTTTGGAATGAGGGTTTTCCAACTCCCCTAGGTGGACTGTCCATATCCACCAACACAGTTAAAGCACTGGATAATTGATTTTTGTTCACTCGATTTCGTAAACAACACCTTGGCGGCGCGAGAATGCAGTGAGTAGAACTTCCCCGACAGTGGATGTATACGCTGACTCGTCTCATCCTCAGCTCTACCAGGGTATTTGGGGGGCACAACTGTATATAACAACACATTTTACTTATATACCTCCTTTGTGAATTTTTCATGGACAGCTTGATAAGGATAATGTTGTATATGTCTTAAATAATTAGAATTTATCAAAATTGATTAAATTTTTACTTTTGATAATCCTATTTAAAATAAGTGGAGAGAGTGGAAATCAGTTTTATGATAAAAGCAGCTATGTAAATGGGAAATGAAAACTGTACACTTCTTTTCAGTTTATCTTATTGTTGTTTTATAATCACATTTTATTATACTATCATTCTCTTGTAATTTTACATGTCCAGAGATCTCACGTATGTTTAGATTTCTAAACAGAAATGTCATCTTTAGTTAAAACTTGTCAAATAATTACTCCCTAACATGTAATAACTTGAAGCTGTAAGTAGTTGATGAAGTGTTTTAAAGTAGATTTTGAAATTATCCAAATCTACAAATCATATTCTGTTTTAACATTCGTACTTCTAAACCTCATCTTATTAGTGTATCAAAGTGAATGTTTGTAAGATTTAAACACTCTCTAGTGACTAGCTTCGTGAGGGAATTCTTGAAGTTCTAGTGAGAAGCTGTGATCAGTGGAACTAATCCGTGTCGGGTAGAGATAGGTATCTACCTCATTACAATGAAAGATGTTCACGCAATTTCGTGGATTGGTTGATGTTAGACACTAACACCATTGGATGCCGACTCAGTGGTCTAAAGGTCAAGCGTTCACGCGCGAGACTGAAGGTCTCAGGTTCGGATCCTACGGGCGGGATCGTGGATGCGCACTGTTGAGGAGTCCCATAATAAGACGAAACGGCAGTCCAGTGCTTCCAGGTTTTCAATGGTGGTCTAACATCAATCGGTTCATGATCTCAATCAAAACTTAATAATCTGCACAACCTCTACACTGAAAAAAATTACTTTGAGATTTCTTTCGAAAATCATATTATTCAGAGTAACAACAAACACACAGCTTAACACTATTACCGGTAATACAAACGTCAATATGGGAGTTAAAGGTCATAGTTTATTGAACGATATGAATAGTTGCATACCAATCATAGAAATCTTGATTAATATATATACTTTTTCTGATCGTATAAATAAACCTAATAAGTTAAATGAATGAGATTATGATAAGAGTGGTACAATATCATGAAGTATTTCATCACTTAAAAGTACGCACACACATGTAATGATGAAACAATATCTTTTATCAAATAACTGATCATTCAGAAAAATGCTTACGCACAAACTTAATTAATATGAATCGCGAAAAAGTAGTTCAACTATCAGGAAGAACTGTTACAGATTAATCATAGAACACACATTCTATAAAGTTAATTTTACCTTATGAAATGATCATTCATCAATAACGAAAGTAGTTTCACTACATAAATATAGTAGGTATGAACATTTAGAGCTGTTTGTATTTATTTGTGTACAAGGATAGAAAATCTAAATCATAACATCGCTTCGTCTGTTAGCCGTAAACTCTATTACTAACTAGTTACTTAAATCAAAAAATGTAGAGCGGACTTTCAGCATGTATCAGTTGAAAAACATCTAATATTCTTACCCGACAACTTTTCACAGTTACTTTACATGTAGACAGAAACAGAAGTCAGCGTATATATGTATCTATAAATATATATATCCGTCCATATGGAGTATAACAGTGATATATTAGTGTTATAAATTAACATATACATTTGTTTGTGTAGTCAGATGTATAACTATGTTGCATTTGGGCATGTTGGAATGTTATATCAATATATATATATGCGGGATCACAAAGGAAAGCAGCTCTGACGAAATTATCAGAGCCAATGGAAATAACTTACATAACAGTATGCATAGAAATATAAGTGATAGGCATATTAGACAAATTAATTCACTACCGGGTCATAAATAACACAATATCACATAAAATATTGACAAGTTATTTGTCTTTTACACCTGAGAGATATTACACTTTGAACAAATTGGACAGAAAGATAAGATGAGAAAACAAAAACGATCATAACAGAGACATAACAAGGAGAGGAAGTAGCGCCACCGACAGTAGAATCAAAATAAACGAAGAAAATGCGGTTTACAATTGGGGAAACCAAATAGCTTCATTAAAGAAGCATGAACAAAACACAAACGAACAGACATGAGAAATGAATAACCATGAAAAACTGAGTAAACTGTGCAAATAATTGTCTTGCGAATCAAAAAAAGAACGAGAGAATTAGTAGATAAAACTCCAGAATAAAATTACTAAATGCTGGAATGTCAGGTGTAATTACACTGCCACAAATAAAAACAACAACAACAACACAAGCAGATACACGCATGCATATAAACAGTATATCTATCTTTATGTTGTTATCAGTTTGTGACATTGAAACAATGGTACAAAACCAATAAACCAAATCCATTTTCCACATACGTATACCATGAATAATTATTGTAAATATCGGTAGAGAAAAAAAAAACAGGATCTTAATGAATCAGTTCTAAACAGGGAGAAAGAGAGAATGAGTGATATTTATCACATCAGTTATGAAAAACAAAAAAAATGAAGATGTAGCTTTTTATCTAATGAAAGACATTGGTTCATTGATTTACATCTTTGTGTAGAACAAGAGAGAAATGAGGACATTCAGAGAATAATCTCTTTTATTTCACGATAAAAAACAAACAACAAACAATCCAGAAAAGAATAATTAAAAGAATGAAAAGAGAACAATGGGTAATACAATAAAAAAGAGGGGAAAAAAGTTTTAAAGAAAATATAAATAAAGAGAACATTTTCTATGAATCAAAGAATTCAAAAGAAAAAACGAAGGAAACAAATGGAACAATAATAAATACACATTGTATGTAATTACTCTAGAAGAAAGACAATTTAAGAGACATTCAATATTATGTATATTTAGATTAATATTATTAACTGTACTATTGTATATTTATTGTACTCTTATCATATCAACTCATCAAGAGGTAGAATTCCTTTCATACCCAAATACACACATACAAATATATACAGTTACATATAATAATTTATACGCACATATTAAGTACAGTGTATATTGCACAAATATACACATCATATAAGTAGATAAATAAGTAGCATTATTCACATTAACAATAATAAACATAGTTTTATAGACAAAGTTAAATGATAATTAGGGTTACATTTTAATTAAATAAAATTAAAAAAATTAAAAAAAAAAAGAAAGAGAAATGAAATGAAATAATATGATATGCACATAGTAAAGAAAATGATATTAGTTACTGAGTTCTCATTTTTTTTCTTCTTTTCTTAAATATTATACAAATGGTCAAGAAATTTAAATCAAATGAAAAGAGAAATAAATGTGTGAAATTTGATTTAAGTAGTAATAGTAGTAGTATAGTGCTTGTTCTCGTTTTTAAAAGAAAAGACAGAAAAGAAAGATATTGAACAGAATATAGAAATATTAATGAAAAGATATATTGTAAAGGATATTTTATGAAGAGAGATAGAAGACTAAATAAGTAGTATATATATGTAAACATTTTGTTTGTTTGTTTTTGATGTACATGTATAGCAAGTAGTGCACAGCCTAAATTGCATAGAATAAACGTTTCTACAGAAAGAAAGAAACGAAAAACAAACATATATCAGTAATTTTATTTGCCTAGAAAAATATATAAACAATATATAAACAACAGTAAGCAACCGTAAATGGGTAAAAGATAACATCAGAATTTTCTAATTGTACATTGTATACAATGGGCTAATCACACCCACACACATATACATAATACAGCGAAGATGGTGATGATGATGGTGATTAGCACAGAGTAAGTAGTAAAATATGCACATAAATACATAAAAGAAATAAATGAATATAAAGATAGAAACATGAGAGTTGAACACAATGCTATATAATCCTTGTGAAAAGTGTAAATAGTACTGTAATATACATAGTAGTAGTAGTAGTACTGGTAGTAATCACAGTATAGCGAACAAAACGGAAGATTCTTCAATGTTCAATATCATCATTCACTATATACGAAGAATGATATGATTATTTCAATAATGAATTAATCAGTGATAAAAACAGTTTACTTTTTTCTTTCGCTTATGTTTCTTTTTTTTTTCAAAAAGAACTCTTCAAATCAAAATAATAATCATAAAAAAGAAATAAGTGTACACACATATATAATACACCACAAAATTAATCATAATCATAGAAATAATTGATGATTTGTTTGTTTATTTATTTTCTTTTCCATCATAACTACATTACATATCAATTGCATGTTGTGTTGGTCGAATAAAATATAATGAATTCGGTTTAGATGAACGTTCAAATACATGATCAATTGATGATTTTGATATATTTGATTGATATGAAAATCTATTTATTATTTCAATAGATGGATTAGTATCAGCTAAAGATTTAGATACAATCGGATTAGTAGAATATTCAATCTAAAAAAAAAAGTAAATAAAGAAAATGAAAGAGGATAAAATAAAGAAAACAAACAAACTTCAATGAACAAATTAAAGAAATAGTGAATAATGGAATAATTATATAAATTCAATATAGTAAAGAAGACATGTTCTTATTATGAGATTGTATTATAAAGATTATTGAATGTTATAGTCTAGATCACGAATTGATCTTCAGTTAGATATTCTTTGATTGAGATCATGAACCGATTGATGTTAAACCACCATTGAAAACCTAGAAGCACTGGACAGCCGATTCGTCTTATTATGGGACTCCTCAACAGTGCGCATCCACGATTCTACTCGCGGTATTCGAACCTAGGGCTTTTAGTCTCGCGCGCGAACGCTTAACCTTAACGATGTTAATGTCTAACCTCAACCAATCCGGTGAAAATCAGAAAGCACGGAATGTCTTTTCAAATTCAATGCAGGACTCCTTAGTAATTTTTATATATAATCTACATGTAGATCAAAACCAGGATTATTAAGTCTTGTGACGAGCGCTTAGTATTGAGACATTTGAGTTGTCATCCAATGGTGTACATTTCTAACTTCAATCAATCACTATTATTGATAATATTTATCTCATACCTGAGATGGTTGGACTTCACTGGCTATGCCTTTATACTAAAACCCCTGGAATTACCTTTTCGAAGTTATATGCTAGTAAGCATATGTTGATTCTGGATTGCAGAATGTTGCATAGATTTTTATTGAGTCTCTTACCAAGATTAAAACATTTTTAGTGATTTCTGGTTTCCATTGCTTGTCTAAGACAAATTCGTGATGTGAACTATCAAGAACGTACTTTCGATAATGCCACATAGAGAAGCTGTAGATGAAATAACTCATTTACTACGAAAAAAAATTTTGTATTCAACCTTAAGTCACACGAGTTGTGTTTGGGTTAGGTGGTATTAAGCAGTTATTACCTGCTTCGGTTTGGGCACTCGGGCAGTATCACAGCCCTCACACATATCGAATGAGATTTGTGTGGCGTATATGTATTTGGTGCCTCCTTGATTAAGCAGTTAACTAGACTGAAGTTGACGGGACGAGGTTTGAACCACTGGCTTGATAGTTGAAATGTGACTGCTGTAACCAATAAAACAACACTTCACAGTACTTATATTCACTGAACACAAACAGCATAATCTATAATATTGCGTGATTACCAGAATGAACCTTATGAATTGTGAAAAATTAGGAATTAGAAAAATGATAGTACGAAAGATCTAATGCGATCGTTCTTGGGTTGATAGGTTTTTATAAATATCCGCTTCTCGAACACGTTACATAACGTTGGAAGACGATTCAAATGGGACTATGTAACCAGAGCTAATGAAGTGTTCAAGGTACGAACTATTCATTTACTTATACTCCATTTTTATTAGCAAGATCAGGTGATGCGTTTGGTAACAGTACAATACAAGACTGTACAACTTTAGTAAGAAAAAATATTATTGCGCTAAACAGGGAACATTGTATCATCATTATAGTAGTTTCAATTTTTTTTAATACTGGAAGAATCTTCAAAAGGGTAAAACGACAATAATAATAATACAGATGATGAACTGATAGACGTTAGACCACAAATGAAAACCTGGGAGCATTGGATGGTTGTTTCGTCCACAACCCTACACTAATAATAATAGTAATAATAATAATAATAATAATAATAAAGACGAAAATACACAAACACTGTAACTGATACTAACTAAATACAAATTTACTATTTAACTACTACAACAGATAAACAATAAAGACAACATGATTGAATTACGTGCAAATTGTAACCTAGCAAACTGTAATAATGATTTATACGGTTGGCTTATAGAGTGTAATTATAAATAAGAAATTTTGCAAAAAAAGGAAACCACTAGAGCGCATTTGTGTTAGAGTTAATTCATCATATACACACGTTAAGCAATACGTAACATGTTGAAAGAACTGGGAGTATATAACATGCAAATAAATACCGACTAATTGACCTGGTATATATATGGAAATTAAAATTACACAATTTATAATTGATTTAGGTATACTGCTTTTTGGATAGGTTATACATTACACAAATGATCAAACTGCATCACGAGACAAGCCCCAACTTCGAATCCTGAGGGGAAGTGGAAAAGAGGAAGGCCAAATAACACATTACATTGGGAAATAGAAGCAGATATGAAAAGAATGAATAACTGGAAAGAGCTGGAAAGAACTGCCCAGGACAGGGTTGGATGGGGAATGCTGATGAGCGGCCTATTCTTCTCTTTGAGGGGTAACAGACGTAAGTGAGTAAGTAATACTCTTTTTTAAACTGCCATAGGACGGATGCCTAGTAATTAAAGTATTCGGCCTTTAACAAGATAGGTGCGACACGTGAACTCTACTCCATCGAATACATTTTAAGGAAGCCTGATAATATTATTATTTTAATAGTTGAACTCATGAGTCGATCTAAGCTAGATCACCATTCAAGACGTGAAAGCATTGGACAGTCGTTTTGTCCTAGCATGGAACCACTCAGTAGTATGCATCCATCATCCCGCATGCGGGACGCGAGCTCAGAATCATCAGTTTAGCGTGTGGACGCCTAACTTATAGACCATTGAGCCTAACTTCAATCGACTCATGATTTAGCGCAACCCCTCTTCCATTGTTTGAGACCGAAAGTCTAGCTTAGATTGACTCATGAATTCAACTATTAAAATTACTCCGATCTCCACAAACCCGCATTCTGATAATATTATTATTCTCATTTGATTTTAGTGAAGTTAAGTTCTCCATTCTAGATAGTTTAAGCGTAGAATCTACATTACCTTTCGAGACAATATGACCGTTCAAAATTTCAGATAAAAGTGATGTGTTGGGATTTTTGTTCGTATGACTAACCATTTGTTTTGTTGTTGTTGTCTCATGTCCTGCCAAGGTCAACAAAATAAACACCTCATTATTTCAACATGAAGTTTGTGTTGATGATGTTGATCATAAAGATAATCGAAGCTTTATGATTAAAATCACTCAGTAAATACACTAAAATGTCACTACACTTAATGAGTAGTTTTAAGCTGATCACATAGACATGGACATGATAAAATCAGCTATATTTTTAAACAAATTACTTAAAATCTCCAAACACCAAATTAGCAAGTGTTATTCAATGACTTCATACATTAGCTTACGAAATTTTGTACATCATAAAGCACAGCAGCTTAGAAGTCAGAAGATTACGTAGATCTATAAATTTTACCGACTGACTTGTCATCTTTACCTAAATGTGATGGTCCTGTTACACACACACACACTCCCAATGTCTCAAATCTCAGACAGTCAAATAGCAGTATACAATGTCCTTAGGAAATAAGTTGTCCAAACAAATCATAAGTGTTTATTTAATATAAACATAACTTAAAATAAATTATCCTATTAGCTAACATTCTACACATTTCCAATTGTAACAATCACTAAATAGTAATGTGAAGTTATGATTTTTAAAAATAGAACAATATAGGAACAACTTCATGAGCTGCATCATCCAAGAAAGTACGGTTTCTATGTGTTTAGTAATAAATAATCTTATCTATACAAACCTAAAATATAATGAGCATCTATATTCACTGCATAGTCGGTCAGTTAGTTATACACAATACAAAATGCAACGTATTTACTCATCAGGTCAAGTTCATACACTAAATCACTACAGAAAAAGGAAATAGTAAATCGACTGGTTTTATTAGTACAACAATAATTCGATTATTTTAATAGCCTATATAGAAAATTTATTGATAATGTAATACAGATCGATAATTATTTCAGTTATGTTATTGTATTGCTATTGTTATTACAATTACTGGGCTCCAACTCTACCTGTTTTCATCACTGTAACAAAAACTGTGCACAGACCCTGTTTTAAATTTTACCTGAATAACTGTAAATACTGATTGTGTGCAATCATGCGCTTTTCTAAAAAGCTTACAAATTATTGTGATATAAAATACTGAGAATCATTAACGGTAACACTACAATTCTAGAGTATTTCCTATCCAATCTATCTCTTAAAGAAACGAGAAAGCGATAATATTGAACTTAACACGTTCAATATACCGATGAATGAAGATAATTGTAGTGTATAATGTAGTTGAAATACTTCTCAATTAAAGATAAATGATAGAAATTAACAACTGGAGAAAAAATTCTGTCTTTAGAGTACCAAATGGTACATTTTGAATTCCTATAGTTTAAAAATAACTCAGTAAAAGTTAGATTTTTATACACTACTGTTTTAATCCAATCAGTCAGTCTTGAATGCTGTTAGAGGTATGAGAGCGGTTATCACTTCCCGGTTGCCCACACCGTAGAAGGGTTCTTCTAGAGGTACCTGAAAAGGAAATTGGATTAGAGATGATCTTAGTGACCTGAGAGCGTGACCGCAGTGCCCAAGGGACAACTGCTTGAGGCCGGTCGCGCACGGCCTTCACGTGGGAGGTTTTTGACGCGTTAGCTCCGTTCTTCAAAGGGCCTTACCGCCGGAGACGGAAATCCGTGAGGTAAGGTGAGGTGTGCATTTTTAGGGTCGACCTTTCCTAACCCACCCCTCCTTGTGGAAAGGCAGCATCGCTGTTATACTGGTTATCTGAAGGAAACACCTTGCTGTCGTCACACCTCTGTACAGTCAACAGTATGACTTCGCTTTCGAACCTTGGGTTTGCTGCTTTTAGTCTTACCACACTTCAACCGACATATCTGATATGGTAGGACATTAAAGAACGATTGTTCCAGCCAGTATAACTCGATTGGTTCATCACAATAGGCAAGCCCGACAACCACATCAAGGTAGCAACAACGGTCCATTAGATTTAAGTGAACTAATGTTAACATCTTAAATTATAAATCTTGTATACTTTATTTTATAACAAAAAAACTAAGTTATAGTCCAGGCCAAATCAACCCATAATGTTATGAAATGTCAATCTATAAATAAA